TACTACGTAACGTAAACTTAAAAGTTAAGTAGTTACGTTTCGGGTTTCGGTTACGTTACTATAGGTAGGTAGGTAGGTAGTACTCTATACTATACTTATATATATATATATATATATATATATATATATACACCTCAAAATATCACCATTAAATTTGGCACAGATCTCTAAAAAAATTATCACATGAGTGTGAGACTTGATTTTTCTAGAGATCTGTGCCAATGTTGATGGTGATCATTTAAGGTCCTACTATAGGACCCTAAATGATCCTATAAGACCTTCCCCCACCCATATGTTTGACAGGGATATCTAAAAAGGTCAAATCCTACAATCATGTGATAACTTTTTTACAAATCAATGTCAAATTTAATGGTAATCTTTTGGAGTCCTACACACATGGGTAGGAGAGGGTCCTATAAGATATAATTTATATTAGGTATCAACATTAAACTATCAAAGCACCACACCTCTAAATTTTGTTGAAAGGTATGGTTATGGTTTCGAAAAACCTGTCGATGGATTGAAAATTTATTTTCAGTTCTAATTATTAAATTTTAAATTCAAAAAAATATGTAGGTCGCACAAATATATAAACTCTTGAAAATCTTGAAAATAGACAACCAAAATAATATATTTAGATACACTATTTTTATGAACTAAATCATTTTTTTATATCCATCATCTAGAGGTTGAGATGATCAATTGGATGGTTTTTTACATTCAAGAAAGCTTTTTTCTGTTATTTTTTGAGATGCACCTTACTTTTGTAGCATAAAGTTGACACTTTGGATAAATTTTTTTCTTATATATGTCCTAAAAATATTTACACGTATATTTGCTCGTTTTATTTAGACTCAACAAAGTGGTTAGTCTAAGACCAAATGACCTGGACCCAACACGGGTGAGCCAGGGGTTTGGGTCTTGCTAATCCAATCAAGTCGGGGTTGACATAAACTCGACCCGACTAATCAACACCTCTACAACTAGTCATTGAATTGATGAGGGGCTTAGTCTAATAAAAAGTGGTTTTACTGCTGGTCAAATTAGTTCGACCGAATCTTATAGAAAATAAAATAGAAATAATAGCTAAAAAATATAAAATATATTAACAAAGTTGTCCAACTTTATTTAATCAGTCAAATAGGTCTAAACCAACCTCTTCAATTGGCCCAAATTCGTTAAATATTAATTTTGACTTCAACGAAAGTTAGGTTTTTACTTTGGCCAAAATTCGTTAAATATTAATTGGCCAAGACATTGACCTGTGTGTGTTGGACAGGTCAATTTGATCTGGCCTTTGAGAACTTTTAGTTATAGACCATGTTACATATACACTGATGATGCATGTGTCAATGTCTAACACACACACGAGCTCCAAAAATGTCAATATCAAAATTAGCTTTTAAAATGCATTGAAAAAATTGACATTAAAAAAAAAAATTATGAAATTTTAAGGATAGGAATTAGAAAAAAATAATGCCTAGATTTATAAATTATGGTGACATTCGCAGAAAACCATGAACATATGCACCAGTTCCCTAGACCATGGCCCCTAATGTATTTCCTTTTTAAACATATTTTTTACATAGGAGCATAAAAGCATACACATGGTGTGTACTCTATACATTTGACATAAAGAACTCAATTTAGTTCATGGCTCATAAATAAGCTCAAAACAAAGACAATGATTTCATACAATGGTTGTATCATAGTATAATGCAATCACACTTCTTAAAAAATCATGTTTGTGGTGTTTGTATGACCCAAAATTTTTCACACACTCTTTTCATCTCAATAATCAATCTAAAAAAAAAACAACTAATATGCACTCTCCTATATAGTCAAAATGAGTCACTCCAACAATGAATCTAGACCATCTATTTGATGACTTTTAAGATCTAGGCCTTTATGAATTCAAAATCATTTTTTTTTTTTTAATATTGTTAATATAACGATAATAAATTATCTAAATTTTTTGAAAAGAAAAACAATATTCTAATGTCTAGATCTAAGTATCTCACCAAATGGACATCCTATATTAATTGGGCTAAAAAATACCTTTTAAATTGTAGTTTTCAATTTTTTCATTCTTTTTTTTTTTTTGTTATTGTTCATTAGAATTGAAACATTGTATATTTTAAAATTTAGATCAAACAAATGGCCCTAACATGGTTTTTGAAGGTCATTGCATTATATTACTATACAACTGCCGCATGAAATCATTGCTCTAAAAACAATTTTAAAATGAGTGTGGTTTATAGTTTATATCATTTATTTTAGTTGGATGGTATAGATTTGACACATATTTTAAAACAATGTAAAAATAACACGTCTAGTATTAGATTTACGCTGCTCCAATAAATTTGATAGCGTAGATCACTGCAATCTTATATTTTACAAATAAAATTGCAATCTTACATAAACTTTTTCCCATTTAAAATTGTTCCGATACGGATGATGGAGATGAGCTATGCATAGAGAAGTTAAATTGTGTCATATCACTACATGTCTCTACCCTTGGTATTCGAAATGAACGATAATAAGTTATTTATTACAATAATATCAAAAAGCTTTAAATAAAAGGTTGTATATTATATTATTTTATTTTATTTATAAATAAGTCATAATTATTTTTAGTTATTGAATATGAAATTTAATAAAATGAAGTGGGTTACAACATTCGAAAAATTTTATTTTAGGTTTTGTGTCCAATCAATGACACATCCTCCACCACTCAATTTCATATCTCAATGTCAATAATGATTGTGACATCTTTTATCAAAAGTAAATGATTTCATCATATGTATATTTATTTAAATAAATTACTTTTTCTAAAATTTATTAAGGATTGTTGCAACAATTCAAATTATATCATGATAAAATAAAAGCAAAATAAATTTATAAAAAATATGTGTCACTGGAATCGTGTGCAACAAGAGTGAGCTATTTCCAATGGAGCTTGATTGCAAGGAGAATTCCCTCTCTCCAATGGATCCAAAGACCCTAACAAGGAGAACAACTCTCAAGGTTAGACTGGACTGGTCAGTCAAAATGTCGATTGGTATTTTGCTAGTTTAATTTAAAGTAAAAATCTGATAAAAAGTCAATGTATGATTGATTTTAGCCGGCCAAAGACCATTTAAACAAAATGGATAATTTTTTTAATATACTTTACATTTTAAATCCAATACTGTAATTTTATTTGTTCTTTTAAAATTTCAACTGTCAAACCAGATTTGGCAAAAACATATCCCTCACCTATTTATGGGCACGTCCAATCCTCGTAACACTAATTAGAAGATAACTATTTCTTGGCTTACTAGATGTTTTTAAGAAAGAAAAAATTTATATAAGATTGCAACTTTATACTATTGAATTAAGGTGCACTTCAAAAATCCTACAAAAAAGAGTGCTTCGGTGTTGGAGAGCCCTCCAATTGATCATTTCAACCTCAAGTTATATCGATATGAAGAAAAAAAAAATTCAAATTCAAAAGGAAAAAGTTTATATAAGGGATGCAACCTTATAATGTAGAACTACGGATGCCCTTCAAAAATCTATCGGAAAATGTAGTTGTAATGTTGAAAAGCCTTTTGATTGATCATTTCGACATCGAGATGTATGAATATGAAAAATAAAAAGATTTTAAGTCTCAAAAATAGTACATTTTATAACATATTATTGACCCTGTCCATTTTCAAGATTTTCATATGTTTATAGATCTACTTGATTTTAGCCATGTTTGAAATTTAAAATTTTATAATTAGATATAAAAATAGATTTTAAGATAATCCTAAGAATATTTTACATCAAAATTATGTACCATGATAAAATTTGAAGGTGCACCTTATCTCTACACCTACGGATGTATCTGTATGTCAACTACACTCAATTCAAAATATGGTGCATAATGAAACAAGTTATTTGAACTGACCATTTTCAAGATTTTTAAGTGTTTATTGATCTGTTCAATCTGTATAATTTTTAAAATTTTAAATTTCATAAATAAGAATAAAAATAAATTTCAGGCCATCATGGGATTTCTGACACATGAATGATATCTCTAAGTAAATTTTAGAGATGCGCCTTACTTCTACAGTGTGAGGAGGCAACCATATACAAACCTCACCCTTTAAAGAAAGCAAAATTCGAGAATATCATGAGTGAGGAGGTGCATGGAATTAAAAAATAGTTGAGGAGTTTATCTCCATCTATAAAATAGGGC